GGCCCCCCTCCACGACCAGCCCATTGAGCGCCTCCTCGGCCTCGTGGAGACGGGCTAGCTTGTTGATAGCTGTAAAGGAGAATGTATACTCAAAGTTAATTTCCGAGTCTTAAAAAGTCATGTAAAAATTGTTGATCTCTTTGAAAGGAGGTACTCACCCTGTTCGAGGGCTCCAAACCTTTCCTTGCATCGGAATCTGCGGCATTCCCGCCATTGGTGAGGAAACTCGCCCCATTCCACCCTAAAAATGGATTTACTACTCATAAAGAATGGTTCATTAGAGGACGCACTACTAAGGTACGTAAGACTGAAAACCGGGAAAAGAAGGAAAGAGAGGAAACCGAAAAACATTTCAAAGGCAAAGCACTAAACCAAAAGCAGAACGTTGACGAACCGGTGCAACATGTTGCTGGCGAAGAAGACTGAAGGTAGGCGGTACGACTGGTGGGTTTGTCCTTGGTGCAGCTAGTGCAGACGCTCGGAATTCGGGTTCTGTAGGGAACGGGCGCGATGGATCTCCTGCGAGAAACAAATGATGGCATAATATTACAACATGTCTAGCTGAGTGTTAATTATGAAAAAAATGAGTACAAGGTAACAATAAGACAGTTATTAGATTTTCCAGACAGGTCATCTTGAGGAATTATGAATGTCGATTCGTAAATAATATGAAAACACTTTTGACCTTCAACGCAGTCGTCCGAACAAAACAGATTTGCTTCCTCAAAAGTTGTGCTTTTACAAATTTCTCTTCTGAACACTCCCAAACAAAATGTGTAAAGACCAATGAATAGAACAGGAGGAACAAAACAAGTTTTTTCTCCGCCGCTGCAAAAATGAACACAGATCAGTTTAGACCTTGTCAAAAGAAACCTTTATCCGTTCAAAATCCATTTTCAACGTGACATCGTAGACACTAACCTTGTTGCCAATACAGAGGAGCCGACACGGAGTAGTTTTTGCTTATTTGATGAGCAAGGCGTATCACCACTTCGCTGTTCACTGGATGGGCTTCTGATTCTCGCACAGAGTGAATCTTATTATTCGCCTGTAATTGTTCATATTTTTACACAAGTGATATTGCTCACAAATCATTGCTTTGAACTTCTTATTTTCTAGCTTGAGAAAACAAGAAAATGCGAACTTAAAATCCGGCCGAAGCTTATATGCTGACCGGTAGTCGGCATAATCGAAAGACGCAATCCTTCTACATATAGTGCAGCTGTAATCATTTCCGAGTCAAATCCTATGAATGATAGCAAGGCTTTCATTTGGGGCTTCTGTAATGGCGTGCATAATGACAGTTATTCTTGAACACGGAACTATTTCTTGAGCTGTATCAAGGCACTGACCGTATTCATAGCACATCACAACATCAAATGAAATAGTGGCGTGAAAACCATGATAGAATGAGGAAAACAACAGATCAAATCCACATTTACTTATCACAACAGCAAAAAATCTGAAGCACCATTTCCAACTCTGTCGGTAGTACGCTGCACCGGCAACATACTCTACTCTATACTGTCGAATGAGTAGATGTGGATTTGGGCTAACCACCCGTAAAACCTACGCAATCGACCACATGGCCTCAGTGGAATACCAGCCATCATGCTAACCGATGTGTGGGATCAGCGAGCCGTGTACTAATTCCATCCGAGGAGAGAGCCTTAGATTGGCCCTTACCGGCAATACAAAAGTGCTGAAAGAAAGTGTCACTGTTTCGGTGCATCGCAAACCATAAGGAATCCACAATTGCGCCATTCGAAAACTTCTCTCAGGAACCTCCCATTCTTGGCAAAAGTTTAACGCGCCATATCCAGATTAAAACTTGAAAGCTTGACTGCCCCCTCCCCCCAGCTTACAAGTGAACAATCGATAATTCCTCAAATTGAAATCATCAGAGACCTAGCTGATACCTCACTTTCGGAATGTTTGAGGGCCCGTCGACCATTCAGTGTACTATGAAAGCAATTTTCCCAATTCGTATTGCTAAACGATAGCACAGGAACGATACACACCACCACAACCACTCCCTTACAAGCCAAAAACAGCCCACGATAACAACAATAACAAATTCGATGCAATCTGTGTAAGCTAATAAACATGCAATAGCAGCTGCACATACAATTATCCATTAACTAACAAATAATCGTAAAAAAACAAACAATGGAAATCAATCAAGTAAACAATCAATAATTATTCCAAAAATAGCCGTGTAACAAAAACTCACCACAACATTGAACATCTGGCCAAAATGCCAAACCGGACCCACAGGGAACCGTCGAGAACACCTATAAATCCAACGGAGTGCTAATCGATACAGACACGATTTGCAAGAACTGACGCTTTGTTTGTTACTCAAAGAATGATCACAACTTGCGAAAAATAGATGTTTAATGCACGTTCACCACAAAGAACATCTGCACGAACACGAAATAATGACGTCAGAAAACTGTAAAAATGAAATGTGAATGATGGCAGCTGGTTCGAGAATTAAAAACTACAGCCATCAATGAACGGAAGTCGGAAATTGAGAAGCGAAATAAAAGCCCATACCCGTATAGACCGTCTAACTCGTCCCGAGTGTCACAGAATTGAGCACAAAATCGAAGTTGGTATTGAACGTAATAAGATGTGGGAGATCACTTCGGGCTTTCGTCATCACTGCTTGAACTTGAACTGCTGTCACTGCTCATTTGTTCCACTTTGTTCACTGGTGGAGGATTCATTCGTGGTGGAGGACTCACAAAGTTGATGTTTACAGTTGGTGAGACCATTCGTGGAGAGTTCTGAACACAAACCGCATAATGAGTAGACATTCTAAAAGAAGTACTAATGCGAGCCTTTACCTCCCCAATATGACCGGTTCTCTTCTGGAATGGCGAGACACCGCCTGGTCCACCACCGCGACCAGCCCATTGAGCGCCTCCCCGGCCTCGTGGAGACGGGCTAGCTTGGTGATAGCTGAAAGGCAGAATTATAGTCAAAGTTATCCATTCTCACAATCAGTAAAATTGTTGATCCTTTGAAAGGAGGTACTCACCCTGTCCGAGGGCTCCAAACCTTTCCTTGCATCGGAATCTGCGGCATTCCCGCCATTGGTGAGGAAACTCGCCCCATTCCACCCTAAAAATGGATTTACTACTCATAAAGAATGGTTCATTAGAGGACGCACTACTAATGTACGTAAGAATGAAAACCGCAAAGAAAGAGAGGAAACGGCGAAAAACCATTTCAACAACCGCAAAGCACTAAACCAAAAGCAGAACGTGGACGAACCGGTGCAACATGTTGCTGGCGAAGAAGACTGAAGGTAGGCGGTACGACTGGTGGGTTTGTCCTTGGTGCCGGCTAGTGCAGACGCTCGGAATTCGGGTTCTGTAGGGAACGGGCGCGATGGATCTCCTGCGAGAAAAAATGATAGCATAATATTACAACATGTCTAGACTGAGTGTAATTATGAAAAAAATAAGTACAAGGTACAATAAGACAGTTATTAGATTTTCCAGGCATACAGGTCATCTTGAGGAATTATGATAATTTTTATGAAATAATATGAAACCAAACCCTGTTTGCCCAATAACACGATATATTCTTATTTGAGTCCTAAAGAAACTCTTCCAGAAGCTTAGCGAATACCGTCAGATTTCTTTCTAAATGTTGCTGCTTTTACAAATTTCTTCTGAACACTCCCAAACAAAATGTGTAAAGATCAATGAATAAAACGGGGGAACAAAACAATTTTTTCACCCGCCGCTGCAAAAATGAACACAGATCAGTTTCATATTTTGTCAAAAAGAACATATCCGTTCAAAAACCATTTCAACCTGACACTGCGCACACTTAGACTCCCAATTCTTCAACCGATTCGGCGCGGCCGAGCTGGTCTCTACCCACGAAGTGTGGTGATGGAGTGTCTTCAAACCTATACGCACAGTTCGCGGGCACTGCCCAACTCGTCCGCGCTCACCGTGGCCGCGCCCCAAATCGTGAAGAAAGTGGGGGAGCCTGAACACTAACCTTGTTGCCAATACAGAGGAGCCGAAATCGAATAGTTTTTTGCTATTTTATGAGCCAGGCGTATCAACTACACTTCGCTGTCACTGGATGGTCTTTTCTGAACTCCCAACAGGTGAATCTTATTATTCGCTGAATTGTCGTATTTTTACACAAGTGATATTGCTCACAAATCATTGCTTTGAACTTCTTATTTTCTAGCTTGAGAAAACAAGAAAATGCGAACTTAAAATCCGGCCGAAGCTTATATAATAAACACAATAGGGCCTTCACAAAGCCACAAATCTACTCATCGTCAGTAAAACGAATGCGCTAACGTTACAACTCTAGGGGTCAGAATTCCGTCGAGACCGAGCAATAGTTCAACGCGACTGATATTCTGTTGGAAGAAAACCCCGATTACAGCAGTCGACCATCATATCATAAGCTTGATGAACCTAGAAGAGGAAAACTAAAATTGATCCTACTTTGAGTTCTGTTACAGCTCACAAACGTCAAGAATTCAAGAAAAACTGGAGATAGGTTCATTAGGAGAAAGACAAGACGAGTTCTAACAACAGCTGACAGTTGTCGAATTCGCTCACGCGACCTTGCCGTGAAAGATGATTGAAAAAAGCTGCTCATGGAAAAAAGCAATTTTCATCTTTGCAATGTCTGACGAAGGGCACTGGGTAGTATGACTTAACTTTTGGCGGAAAAGATCCGTAAAACGATATTTTACGATATTAGATATTAAACGACATTAAACGTTTACAAGGTTGTGTCAGACAGCTAAACCTAGGTCGTACCCGCTGGTATCCGCTTCATTGAAATGAACTTTTTGGGTAGAACCAAATGACGAGGAAAGCAAGTACACCAAAACAAAAGAACGCGACAAACAAGGCTGATAAGGCGAACAACATGAATTGCATCAAAGGGGCGCACCTAGTACGTGAGGACCAAACTATAGCAATAATGATGGAAAGAAATTTGGCAATAAATCCCCCACCTACGTTCACTAGAAAGTGTTCGGACCAGTGTCTGATAAGGAGTCGTTTGCAGTGTAAGACAGGAAACGATAAGAAGTAACAGGGCATCCCGTCGCCCATCACAGAACGTCGCGCACTGTCACTGGTTGACCGATGTTCGTAATGAGGTCTCTATGCAAAAAGAGGTTCGACATCCACTTGAGCGCCATGCCGTCAATAAATCACTTTACGCAAGTAGATGACA